GTGGTGAGTGGTAAGTCTGGGTGGTGAGTGATAAGTCTGGTTGGTGAGTGGTAAGTCTGGGTGGTGAGTGGTAAGTCTGAGTGGTGAGTGGTAAGTCTAGGTGGTGAGTGTAAGTCTGGTGGTGAGTGGTAAGTCTGAGTGGTGAGTGGTAGTCTGGGTGGTGAGTGGTAAAGTCTGGGTGGTGAGTGGTAAGTCTGGGTGGTGAGTGGTAAGCCCTGGGTGGTAGTGGTTTGTCTGGGTGGTGAGGGGTAAGTCTGGGTGGTGAGTGGTAAGTCTGGGTGGTGAGTGGTTAGTCTGGGTGGTGAGTGGTAAGTCTGGGTGGTGAGTGGTAAGTCTGAGTGGTGAGTGGAAAGTCTGGGTGTGAGTGGTAAGTCTAGGTGGTGAGTATTAAGTCTGGGTGGTGAGTGGTAAGTCTGGGTGGTGAGTGATAAGTCTGGGTGGTGAGGGGTTTAAGTCTGGGTGGTGAGTGGTAAGTCTAGGTGGTGAGTGGTAAGTCTGGGTGGTGAGTGGTAAGTCTGGGTGGTGAGTAGCAAGTCTGAGTGGTGAGTGATAAGTCTGGGTGGTGAGTTTTAAGTCTGGGTGGTGAGTGGTAAGTCTGGGTGGTGAGTGGTAAGTCTGGGTGGTGAGTGGTAAGTCTGGGTGGTGAGTGGTTAGTCTGTGTGGTGAGTGGTAAGTCTGGGTGGTGAGTGGTAAGTCTGGGTGGTGAGTGGTTAGTCTGGGTGTGAGTGGTAAGTCTGGGTGGTGAGTTGGTTAGTCGGGGTGGTGAGTGGTAAGTCTGGGTGGTGAGTGGTAAGTCTGAGTGGTGAGTGGAAAGTCTGGGTGTGAGTGGTAAGTCTAGGTGGTGAGTATTAAGTCTGGGTGGTGAGTGGTAAGTCTGGGTGGTGAGTGGTAAGTCTGGGTGGTGAGTGGTAAGTCTAGGTGGTCAGTAGTAAGTCTGGGTGGTGTGTGGTAAGCCTGGGTGGTGAGTGGTAAGTCTTTGTGGTGAGTGGTAAGTCTGGGTGGTGAGTGATAAGTCTGAGTGGTTAGTGGTAAGCCTGAGTGATCAGTGATAAGTTTGGGTGGTAAATCTGAGTGGTTAGTGCTAAGTCTGAGTGGTCAGTGGTAAGCCTGAGTGATCAGTGGTAAGTCTGAGTGGCCAAAGTTAAGTCTGAGTGGTCAGTGATAAGTCTGGGTTATGAGTGGTAAGCCTGAATGGTTAGTGATAAGTCTGAGAGGTCAGTGATGAGTCTGGGTGGTGAGTGTAAGTCTGACTGCCAGTGGTAATCTGAGTGGCAAGTGGTAAGTCTAAGTGGTCAGTAGTAAGTCTGACTGGTTAATGGTAAACCTGATTGGTCGGTCATAAGTCTGACTGGTCAGTGGTAAGTCTGATTTTTCGGTCATAAGTCTGACTGGTCAGTGGTAAGTCTGATTGGTTGTTCATGAGTCTGACTGGTCAGTGGTAATTCTGATTGGTCGGTCATAAGTCTGACTTGTCAGTGGTAAGTCTGGGTGGTGACTGGTAAGTCTAAGTGGCCAGTGGTAAGTCTGAGTGGTCAGTGGCAAGCCTGAGTGGTCAGTGATAAGTCTGAGTGGTCAATGGTAAGTCTGAGTGGTCAGTGATAAGTCTGGGTGGTGAGTGGTAAGTCTGACTGCCAGTGGTAAATCTGAGTGGCAAGTGGTAAGTCTGAGTGGTCAGTAGTAAGTCTGACTGGTTAGTGGTAAATCTGATTGGTCGGTCATAAGTCTGACTGGTCAGTGGTAAGTCTGATTTTTCGGTCATAAATCTGACTGGTCAGTGGTAAGTCTGATTGGTCGGTCATAAGTCTGACTGGTCAGTGGTAAGTCTGGGTGGTGACTGGTAAGTCTAAGTGGCCAGTGGTAAGTCTGAGTGGTCAGTGGCAAGCCTGAGTGGTCAGTGATAAGTCTGACTGGTCACTGGTAAGTCTGAGCGGTGAGTGGTAAGTCTGAGTGGCCAGTGGTATGTCTGAGCGGTTAGTGGTAAGTCTGGGTGGTGAGTGCTAAGTCTGAGTGGCCAGTGGTAAGTCTGAGTCTTCGGTGGTAAGTCTGATTGGTCGTTCATAAGTCTGAGTGGTCAATGGTAAGTCTTATTGGTCAGCCATAAGTCTGACTGGTCAGTAGTGAATTTGATTGGTTAGTCGTAAGTCTGACTGGTCAGTGGTAAGTCTGGCTGGTCGGTCATAAGTCTGACTGGTCAGTGGTAAGTCTGATTGGTCGGTCATAAATCTGACTGGTTAGTGGTAAGTCTGACTGGTCAGTCATAAGTCTGAGTGGTCAGTGGTAAGTCTGATTGGTCGGTCATAAGTCTGATTGATCAGTGGTAAATCTATTTGGTTAGTCATAAGTCTGAATGGTCAGTGGTAAGCCTGACTGGTCGGTCTTAAGTCTGAGTGGTAAGTCTGATTGGTCGGTCCTACGTCTGACTGGTCAGTGGTAAGTCTGATCGGTCGGTCATAAGTCTGACTGATCAGTGGTAAATCTGATTGGTTGGTCATAAGCCTGACTGGTCGATCATAAGTCTGAGTGGTCGGTCATAAGTCTGAGTGGTCAGTGGTAAGTCTGACTGGTCGGTCATAAGTCTGATTGGTCAGTGGTAAGTCTGATTGGTCGGTCATAAGTCTGAGTGGTCAGTGGTAAGTCTGATTGGTCGGTCATAAGTCTGAGCGGTCAGTGGTAAGTCTAATTGGTCGGTCATAAGTCTGAGTGGCCAGTGGTAAGTCTGATTGGTCGGTCATAAGTCTGAGTGGTCAGTGGTAAGTACGATTGGTCGGTCATAAGCCTGACTGGTCAGTGGTAAGTCTGACTGGTCGGTCATAAGTCTGACTGGTCAGTGGTAAGTCTGACTGGTCGGTCGTAAGTCTGACTGGTCAGTGGTAAGTCTGATTGGTCGGTCTTAAGTCTGACTGGTCGGTCATAAGTCTGACTGGTCAGTGGTAAATCTGACTGGTCGGTCATAAGTCTGAGTGGTCAGTGGTAAGTCTGACTGGTCGGTCATAAGTCTGACTGGTCAGTGGTAAGTCTGACTGGTCGGTCATAAGTCTGAGTGGTCAGTGGTAAGTCTGACTGGTCGGTCATGAGTCTGACTGGTCAGTGTTAAGTCTGACTGGTCGGTCATAAGCCTGAGTGGTTAGTGGTAAGTCTGATTGGTCGGTCATAAGTCTGAGTGGTCAGTGGTAAGTCTGATTGGTCGGTCATAAGTCTGACTGGTCAGTGGTAAGTCTGACTGGTCGGTTATAAGTCTGAGTGATCAGAGGTAAGTCTGATTGGTCGGTCATAAGTCTGACTGGTCAGTGGTAAGTCTGACTGGTCGGTTATAAGTCTGAGTGGTTAGTGGTAAGTCTGATTGGTCGGTCATAAGTCTGACTGGTCAGTGGTAAGTCTGACTGGTCGGTTATAAGTCTGAGTGGTCAGTGGTAAGTCTGATTGGTTGGTCATAAGTCTGAGTGGTCAGTGGTAAGTCTGACTGGTCGGTTATAAGTCTGAGTGGTCAGTGGTAAGTCTGACTGGTCGGTTATAAGTCTGAGTGGTTAGTGGTAAGTCTGACTGGTCGGTTATAAGTCTGAGTGGTTAGTGGTAAGTCTGACTGGCCGGTTATAAGTCTGAGTGATCAGTGGTAAGTCTGATTGGTCGGTCATAAGTCTGAGTGGTCAGTGGTAAGTCTGACTGGTCGGTTATAAGTCTGAGTGGTTAGTGGTAAGTCTGATTGGTCGGTCATAAGTCTGAGTGGTCAGTGGTAAGTCTGGCTGGTCGGTCATAAGTCTGAGCGATCAGTGGTAAGTCTGATTGGTCGGTCATAAGTCTGGCTGGTCAGTGGTAAGTCTGGCTGGTCGGTCATAAGTCTGAGCGATCAGTGGTAAGTCTGATTGGTCGGTCATAAGTCTGACTGGTCAGTGGTAAGTCTGACTGGTCGGTCATAAGTCTGAGTGGTCAGTGGTAAGTCTGACTGGTCGGTTATAAGTCTGAGTGGTCAGTGGTAAGTCTGTTTGGTCGGTCATAAGTCTGAGTGGTCAGTGGTAAGTCTGGCTGCCAACTTTCTTGTAATTAATCTTCAAGTTGTGGTTTTTTACGAGATTCACCACAAAAGAGAATTAATCTTGACTTACTGAGAGTTTGAGCCAGAGATAACTTTGTGTACCCACCTTTTTGTTGTTGCAGGGATCGATTCACAGCTCCTGGCCCCGCATCTTCGCTGGTCGCTACTAGGTCCACTCTCTCTCTGCTCCATGAGCTTTATCATACCTTTTCTTAAAGCTATGTATAGATCCTGTTTCCACTACATCATTCTCCAGATTGTTCCGCTTCCTGACAACTTTTGATGAAGAAATACTTCCTAACATCCCTGTGACTCATCTGAGTCTTCAACTTCCAGCTGTGTTCCCTTATTACTGTGTCGCATCTCTTGAACATCCTGTCCCTATCCGCCTTGTCAATTCCTTTCAGTATTTTATATGCCGTTATCATGTCTTCCTCTATCCCTCCTGTCCTTCAGTGTGGTCAGATCGATTTCCCTTAACCTCTCGTTCTAGGACATATCGCTTAGCTCCAAAACTAGTCTTGTTGCAAACCTTTGTACTTTAATTTCTTAACGTGTTTGACCAGGTGTGGGTTCCAATCTGCTGCTGCATACTCCAATATGAACCAGTATTGCGCCTCAGGAGATGTGCTAGGTGTTATACTCACCCAAAGATCTTTTTCTTGAGTAAGGTTTACAGTCTTTGGCCTGCTAGCCTGTACTCTGTCTTCTCTGTCCTTCCCCAATATTTGTGTGTGTGTGTGTGTGTGTGTGTGTGTGTGTGTGTGTGTGTGTGTGTGTGTGTGTGTGTATGTTTGTATGTGTACGCTTTGTGGTTGTAGGGGTCGAGTCAAAGCTCCTGTTCTTACCTCGTAACTCTCTGCCTGCTAGATTACCTCCTTTGCATCCTCGTAGACTGCCGTACCCATTCTTAAAACTATGAATTGGTAATTTTTTCACGAGTGAAAGAGAGAGTAAAAGGTGTCCTCACCTCTGTTCGAAATATTGCGGAGTGATGGTCGAAACACGCTCTACGTGGCTCACTTGTCGACACATTTCGCACTCTACCGGCGGTCGAAACACGTCTTGTACAGCCGCTGGCATGTCGATAGTACACTGTGGAAGAGAACATGACTGTGTGAGAGGAAGTAGACATGACTGACACTTCCACTTGCCCCGGGATCACTCCCGGGTCCGTCAGATGTTAACAGAAGGCACTATCGCTGCACACACAGACCAACACATCTACATATAACACAACTAACATACAGTAGTGTAGTATGCTGGATTTATAACATAATTCTGTATAATTGTTTCGTCAGCTGGGAGAATCATGGTGCTGAGAGAGGCTGATAGCCTGCCTGACAGACAGCCTGACTGGCTGACAGCCTGGCTCACAGACTGACTGACTGGCTGATGATAGCAGAAGAGTGTGGCAATGTTGGTTATGATGTGGATAACTTATGTTTCTTTGGGTGAGTTACGCTCCCACATCCTGACTTATGGTGGTTGAGTGTTGTGGTGGTGGTTGAGTGTTGTGGTGGTGGTTGAGTGTTGTGGTGGTGGTTGAGTGTTGTGGTGGTGGTCGAGTGTTGCGGTGGTGGTTGAGTGTTGTGGTGGTGGTTGAGTGTTGTGGTGGTTGTTGAGTGTTGTGGTGATGGTTGAGTGTTGTGGTGGTGGTTGAGTGGTGTGGTGGTGGTTGAGTGTTGTGGTAGTGGTTGAGTGTTGTGGTGGTGGTTGAGTGGTGTGGTGGTGGTTGAGTGTTGTGGTAGTGGTTGAGTGTTGTGGTGGTGGTTGAGTATTGTGGTGGTGGTTGAGTGTTGTGGTGATGGTTGAGTGTTGTGGTGGTGGTTGAGTGTTGTGGTGGTGGTTGAGTGTTGTGGTGGTGGTTGAGTGTTGTGGTGGTGGTTGAGTGCTGTGGTGGTGGTTGAGTGTTGTGGTGGTGGTTGAGTGCTGTGGTGATGGTTGAGTGTTGTACTCACCTAATTGTACTCACCTAATTGTGGTTGCAGGGGTCGAGACTCAGCTCCTGGCCCCGCCTCTTCACTGATTGCTACTGGGTCCTCTCTCTCTCTCTGCTTCCTGAGCTTTGTCATACCTCTTCTTAAAACTATGTATGGTTCCTGCCTCCACTACTTCACTTGCTAGGCTATTCCACTTGCTGACAACTCTATGACTGAAGAAATACTTCCTAACGTCCCTGTGACTCGTCTGAGTCTTCAGCTTCCAGTTGTGACCCCTTGTCCCTGTGTCCCATCTCTGGAACATCCTATCTCTGTCCACCTTGTCTATTCCCCGCAGTATCTTGTATGTCGTTATCATGTCTCCCCTGACCCTTCTGTCCTCCAGTGTCGTCAGTCCGATTTCCCTTAACCTTTCCTCATACGACATTCCCTTGAGCTCTGGGACTAGCCTTGTTGCAAACCTTTGTACTTTCTCCAACTTCTTGACGTGTTTGACCAGGTGTGGGTTCCAGACTGGTGCTGCATACTCCAGTATGGGCCTAACATACACAGTGTACAGTGTCTTGAACGATTCCTTATTAAGGTATCGGAACGCTATTCTCAGGTTTGCCAGGCGCCCGTATGCTGCAGCAGTTATTTGGTTGATGTGTGCCTCCGGTGATGTGCTCGGTGTTATGGTCACCCCAAGGTCTTTCTCCCTGAGTGAGGTCTGTAGTCTTTGTCCACCTAGCCTATACTCTGTCTGCGGTCTTCTTTGCCCCTTCCCAATCTTCATGACTTTGCATTTGGCTGGATTGAATTCGAGAAGCCATTTTACTGGACCACATGTCCAGCCTGTCCAGGTCTCTTTGCAGTCCTGCCTCATCCTCGTCCGATTTAATTCTTCTCATCAACTTCACATCATTGCGAACAGGGACACTTCAGAGTCTATTCCTTCCATCATGTCGTTCACATATATCAGAAATAGCACGGGTTTTCTAGAACTGACCCCTGTGGGACCCCGCTCGTAACAGGCGCCCACTGTGATACCTCTTCACGTACCATGACTCTTTGCTGCCTCCCTGTCAGGTATTCCCTTATCCATTGCAGTGCCCTCCCTTTTACATGCGCCTGATCCTCCAGCTTCTGCACTAATCTCTTGTGGGGAACTGTGTCAAAGGCCTTCCTGCAGTCTAGGAAAACGCAATCTACCCACCCCTCTCTCTCGTGTCTTACTTCTGTTACCTTGTCATAAAAATCCAGGAGGTTTGTGATACAGGATTTGCCTTCCATGAACCCATGCTGGTTTTCATTTATAATCTTGTTCCTTTCCAGGTGTTCGACCACTCTCCTCCTGATAATCTTCTCCATGACTTTGCACACAATACATGTCAGAGACAAAGGTCTGTAGTTTAGCGCCTCGTTTCTGTTTCCGTTCTTAAATATGGGGACTACATTAGCTGTCTTCCATTTCTCAGGTAGTTGCCCAGTTTCAAGGGATGTGTTGAAGATTGTGGTTAGGGGCACGCACAGCATCTCTGCTCCTTCTCTAAGGATCCATGGGGAGATTTTTGTCCGGTCCATCGCCTTTGAGGTGTCAAGGTCACTTAAGAGCTTCTTCACCTCCTCCTCAGTTGTTCGTATATCATCCAACACTTGTTGGTATATTCCCTCTTGATGTTCCCTTCTGTGCTGTCTTCCACAGCCCTTCCTGTCTCTACTGTAAAAAACTTCCTTAAATCTCCTGTTCAGCTCCTCACATACCTCCTGATCATTTCTTGTGAGTTCTCCACCCTTTTGTCCTTAATCTGATCACCTGGTCTTTGACTGTTGTCTTCCTCCTGATGTGGCTATACAACAGTTTCGGGTCAGTCTTGATTCTCGATGCTATGTCATTTTCATACTGTCGCTGGGCCTCCCTCCTTACCTGTGCATACTCATTCCTGGCTCTGCGACTGATCTCCCTATTTTCGTGTGTTTCTCTGCCTTCTGTACTTTTTCCATTCTCTATTGCACTTTGTTTTTGCCTCCTTACACCGTCGGGTAAACCAGGGGCTCGTTCCGATCTTCCCGTTGTTACTGTTGCCCTTGGGAATAAACTTTTTCACTGCCTCCTAGCATTTTGTTGTTACATATTCCATCATTTCATTTACTGGCTTTCCTGCCAGTTCTTTGTCCCACTGGACCTCCCGCAGGAAGTTCTTCAACCCTATGTAGTCCCCTCTTTTATAGTCAGGCTTTTCCCATTCAACTCCTGTTATTCTCTCCACTTGCAGCTCTACTATGTATTCAAAGCACAGAACCACGTGGTCACTAGCTCCTAGGGGACTCTCATACTTGATGTCCTCAATGTCTGAGCTGCCCAGGGTGAACACAAGGTCCAATCTTGCTGGTTCATCCTCCCCTCTCACTCTGGTGGTGTCCTTAACATGTTGGTGCATGAGGTTTTCCAGCACCACGTCCAACATCCTGGCTCTCCATGTTTCGGGACCCCCATGTGGCCCCAGGTTTTCCCAGTCGATCTCCCTGTGGTTGAAATCCCCCATAACCAGCAACTTTGCTCTGTTGGAATGAGCTCTGTTGTTGTGGTGGTGGTTGAGTGTTGTGGTGGTTGTTGAGTGTTGTGGTGGTGGTTGAGCATTGTGGTGGTGGTTGAGTGTTGTGGTGGTGGTTGAGTGTTGTGGTGTGGTTGAGTGTTGTGGTGGTGGTTGAGTGTTGTGGGGGTTGAGTGTTGTGGTGATGGTTGAGTGTTTGGTGGTGGTTGAGTGTTGTGGTGGTGGTTGAGTGTTGTGGTGGTGGTTGAGTGTTGTGGTGGTGGTTGAGTGTTGTGGTGGTGGTTGAGTGTTGTGGTGGGGGTTGAGTGTTGTGGTGGTTGAGTGTTGTGGTGATGGTTGAGTGTTGGGGTGGTGGTTGAGTGTTGTGGTGGTGTTGAGTGTTGTGGTGGTGGTTGAGTGTTGTGGTGGTGGTTGAGTGTTGTGGTGGTGGTTGAGTATTGTGGTGGTGGTTGAGTTTTTGTGGTGGTGGTTGAGTGTTGTGGTGGTGGTTGAGTGTTGTGGTGGTGGTTGAGTGTTGTGGTGGTGGTTGAGTGTTGTGGTGATGGTTGAGTGTTGTGGTGGTGGTTGAGTGTTGTGTGGTGGTTGAGTGTTGTGGTGGGGGTTGAGTGTTGTGGTGATGGTTGAGTGTTTGTGGTGGTGGTTGAGTGTTGTGGTGTGGTTGAGTGTTGTGGTGGTGGTTGAGTGTTGTGGTGATGGTTGAGTTTGTGGTGGTGGTTGAGTGTTGTGGTGATGGTTGAGTATTGTGGTGGTGGTTGAGTGTTGTGGTGATGGTTGAGTGTTGGGGTGGTGGTTGAGTGTTGTGGTGGTGGTGAGTGTTGTGGTGATGGTTGAGTGTTGTGGTGATGGTTGAGTGTTGTGGTGATGGTTGAGTATTGTGGTGGTGGTTGAGTGTTGTGGTGATGGTTGAGTGTTGTGGTGATGGTTGAGTGTTGTGGTGGTGGTTGAGTGTTGTGGTGATGGTTGAGTGTTGTGGTGATGGTTGAGTGTTGTGGTGATGGTTGAGTGTTGTGGTGATGGTTGAGTGTTGTGGTGGTTGTGGTAGTACATGAGACAAACCACTACAAAAGTACATACCGAGGTTGTCTGCTGACAAGAATTTTGAACCTAATTTCTAAGTTAAGAAATGTCGAATGTTATTTAGATGTCTGAGGCAATAATAATAGAGCAGAAGTTCTGTTGTATGACAGAGAGAGAGAGAGAGAGGTATTGATGATGACCTTGGTGCTAATGGTAGGACTAGTCTGTATTAACAGAGGTAAATAGTTATGTAAGGATATCATCAAACATTCCACTATGGTTCAGTAACTACCACACCTTCAGAGTTACCTTCCAGCAGTGCTGCAGTTACTATCTCTCACCACACCTTCAGTTACCTTCCAGCTGTGCTGTAGTTACTATCTCTCACCACACCTTCAGAGTTACCTTCCAGCAGTGTTGCAGTTACTATCTCTCACCACACCTTCAGAGTTACCTTCCAGCTGTGCTGCAGTTACTATCTCTCACCACACCTTCAGAGTTACCTTCCAGCAGTGCTGCAGTTACTATCTCTCACCACACCTTCAGAGTTACCTTTCAGCAGTGTTGCAGTTACTATCTCTCACCACACCTTCAGAGTTAC